TGTGCAGCCCAGGCACCACCACACCACCAACCCACTGCTGTTGGTCCATTCTGACTCATGGCAATGCTCTAGAACTAGATCTATCCCGTCACCTCTATCACACCGTCCTCCCACACATCCCCCCCACCAGGGCAGCTGGTGGGTTCGAACCACCACCTCTTAGTTAGCACCCAGTTACCAGCAGGGCGTGAAGACATGATAATCCTGCTCCTGTGCCCTCTGGGACAAGCCGGCGCTCAGTGTGGTGGGTGGACAGTGGGACACCTACACAATTGTTGTTGGGTGCTGTCCAGTTGGTCCTGGCACATTGCCAGCCTGCGTGCGACAGAAGGAAACACTTCCCGGTCCTGGGCCGTGTTCACCATTGCTCTTATGTTTGAGCCCATGGATGGAGCCACTTGAGTCCACTCATCTTGTTGAAGGTCTTCCTCGTTTCCGCTGCCCCTCCACTTTACCCAGTTCCTTTTCCAGGGGCTCTGTCCTCCTGAAAACACGTCCAAAGCACGGGAGACCAAGTCTCGTCATCCTGGTCTCTAAAGGAGCGCTCTGGCTGCGCCTGTTCCCAGACAGATGTTTGTCCTTCTGGCAGTCCCTGGCACTTGCGGTGTTCTTCAGCACATACTTCTAATGCGCCGATTCTCCTTACTCAACATCCACCTTTCACATGCGTAGGGGACGACTGAACAGACCATGGCTTGGTCCAGGTGCACCATAATCCTCAATCACATCCTTGCTTTTCAACCCTTTAAATGAGGTCTTGTGCAGCAGATTTAGATTTACCCAATTACTTAGCAGAAAAACTCATCTTCTCCAGGTTTTGCTTCCAAATGGCATCAATATATGTCTGTGCGCCACTAACTGATGTTCATGTGAGTCCCTGATGCTGCAGGCCAGGACTGGGTGTGAACCAATGGAAGACAGCACAGCGGAAGCCGGAAGAGCTACCTAAGCAATGAAATAAGATGCAGGAAGAGCATGCTACCTGTCAGGGGCTGAGTTTGAATCCATCCTGCTGGTCCAGGGACCAACAGCCAACCAACTTGGGCAGCAGAGGTAGAATGGCCTGGGCTGTTTGAGGAGGACACGTCTCTGGGTTACGTGTCTGGCTGCAAACCCACAGGTAGAGGTTAGAGACTGTCCAAAGATGCTTTGGGGCACAGCCTGGGGGTCTACTTCTGAAAAACCAGCCTCTGGAAACCAGCTCCATGCTGCCCTGTGTGGGCTCCAGTTAGAACCGACTGGGTGGCAACTGGTTTCAAGAGCCAGGTTCAAATAATGACACTGAGTGGAATTACTTTATGCCCCAAGGAGATGACTGACAATGGTCTCTAACATAAAATGACAACGACGTCTCTAAGGTGAACCAGAGACCTAGACAAACCATAGACATAGGAATGGATTTTGGGCTTGCACACAATCCTAGCCCCAATCTAAGAACAATTAGTTCTTATGAGATGGCCCTCATTAAACAGTAACTGAAGAAATGGGCGCCGTGGTGCACCAACGTGTGGGGAAGATACTAGATGGTGCTCGGCTATCGGAAAGAAAAGCGTCTGGGGCCATACAGGCTTGTCTTCAAACAAGCAGCCACCCAAGTCCACATGGACGAAGCACACCAGCCAGCGTGATCCAGGGATTGTAAACATAATCCACCTCCGGAGGAGGGAATGGCATAGATTAAGCCTCTGGTTGAGGGATGTGTGTAGCCATGTTATCAGACAGAGAATATTGTAAAGTCGATGATGGCAGAAAATAGGTTTAAAAAAGGGTGTGTGTGTGTGTGTCTCGTTAAGCCAGAGGTAACATCTACGGTGGGCCTTGAAGGTCAATTTCATCAAAGGGGAAGGAGTGGGGGAGTAGCAGCCCAAGTGAAGCAGCACAGCTTGTTTGGGAGGGGACAGGCCCTGGCCAGGGGAGAGGGTAGAAGAAATCACGTGGACAAGGTAGCCTGACACCCGTTGAGTAGCACAGATTCTGTGAAATTGGGGCTTCTCAAGCAGCATTTTGAGGACGGTGCAATATGTGCTTTGGAAGAATCCAGAGAAAGACCAGACCAGACCAGAAGCAGGTCAGGCCATTCTTCACTTGACAGGCACTGTGTTGAGAGCATCCACACGGTGTTCAGGCTCGGCCTAACCCATTCTCACGGGCTTCTGTGAGAACCTGGGGGAAGAAGCCAGTCGGGCAAGCAAGTCAACCACTGGACTTGGCCAACGTGGACAAAGATCAGAATGGCCAGGGCTGGGAAGGAAGTCAAGGAAGGGGTGGTGGCAGAGAGCGGTGAGGGGGGCAAGGAGAGGCCAGGAGGATGAGAGCAGCGGGCAGATGGGTCCCAGGGAGAAGGAATAGTGTGGACAAAGGACCTCAGGTGGAAGTGGGAGGGAAGAATGAGAAGGGAGCAGAGAGAGGGAGGGGAGCCTGGAGTTAGCTGAATCTGCAGTCAGGTGGGAGAGGAAGTGGGTGGGGTCGGAGATGCTCCTCGCCCAGGACACACTGGAGGAGGTTCGGACTGTGGCTGGCAGAGCCCTCTTCCTTGTCTGACCTCGGGAACACTCGTGGTTTAGGGCAGGATGATGATTTCTTTCAAGCAGACAGAATTTGAGGAGCCGCAGGGCTGCAGGTGGATGGGAGTCTAGGGCTCAAAAACTGGATGGCCCACAGGTGGATTTGGGAGTCAGTGCCGTACAGGGAGGAGGCCCTGGGTGGCACAGATGTTCAAAGTGCTGGCATACTAGCCAAATGGTTGGCAGTTTAAAGCCACCCAGATGTGATGGGGGGATAGGCCTGGCAGGTTGCTTCCAAATGACATGAGTCTGGAAAGCCCCCAGGCGGCTCTATTCTGCGGAGTTGGAATTCACCCCAGGGAAGGGAACAGGAAACCATACTAGCAGGAGTGGAGGCCAGAAGAGCTCCTGACCCCTTGGGGCTGGGGGGGAGGAGTGGGGGATAGGAAGAGGGAGGCCCAAGCTGGGACCTTGGCGGATGACAAAAGTTAAGGGGTGGGAGGACAATGCTATGAGAAGCACTGGACTGGTGTCAGGGCCAGCTATTGAATTTTCGGCCCAGTTTCTATCAGTCGCACTACAGCTCAATAGAGACGGGCAGAGACTCAGGAGCTGGACCACCTGGGTTTGAATCCTGGTCCCGCCACCTGACCTCCCCCACCCACCCTGGCACACGTCAAAGAGTTAGCCCGTCAGCTTCCCACCTGCTGGCAGAAACATGAGGATGGGCTGGAGACACAGGAGTTGGTTGCTCCTAACTCAGTAGGCGCACCATGGGGTAGGGGTCTGGCTGGGTGCTGTGCACACAGTAGATCTGCATCAGCGGAGGAACTCTGAGCTGGGGGAACCCAGGCGTTTCCTAGCAGGCAGTAAGCATGCACGCACAACCTTCCTGGTCACTTGCTGCTCGCACAGCTCCCAGAAAGGTGCACTCACACGGACACACCCAGCCGTGAAGTGCAGGAGCCCAAAGAGCCATAGGGTGGAGCCCAAGCCCCAAGCTCACAGGTCGGTTGGGAGATTAATAATGTACGTAAGGTGATCTCAACAGTACCTGGTCAATGTCAGCTGTGCCTGCCCACTGCGGCGCGTCGGTGCCGACTCATCACGATCCTACAGGACAGGGTAGAACTGCCCGGTGGTTTTCCAAAACTTTTAAATCTTTATGGGTGTAGGCGCCTCATCTTTCTCCCCAGGAGGAGCTGGAAGGTTAGAATCAACCTGATTCTGCTGCTGGCCACTCAATGGCTAATTCCCGATGCCACCAGGGCTCCTGTTATTAGGGGTGGCAGTAGGGAAGAAAGTGAGGCTTCAAACTATGGATGTTACACAAACTGCTGAAATGACAGATCCTCACTGAATGTTCCCTGTGGGGGCAGTGAGGGCACCGCGCTGAATACAGCCACACTCTCAATCTCCAGCCACTCACGTTCTCTAACAGACTGCTGGGTAAACCAGCAGGGGCCACACGACCCAGGGCCTACCAGGCCATGATTAGGGTGTGTTAGCGGTGGAGGGTTCTGCCCAGGGAAACATCTATTCATGCCGTTAAAAGGACGATGCTGGTGACAAAATGGAGCCCAGATCAGCTGGCACTGGGCAGTAGAAGTGGGCATCCTCACAGCATGCCATGTGGGCCAGTGACCTTCGGAACCCCCGGGGCAGCATGGGACCCTGCTGAACTCCAGGCGGCTGATGCCAGGCCGGAGGGCCCAGCAGTCACTGGCGGTGAATGTGCACTTCTTTGGGAAAGGTCCCCTGAAGGAGAGGCCTGGGAATGCAGTAAGATGATTTTCCTCGCGTGTGAAAAGATGCACGTTTACATGCGAGGGCCTCCCTGAGCGCAGGCACTGGTGGTGGCGGCAGTGGGGCGGGAGCAGGCGCAAGGAGCACCTCTGCCCGAAACATGGGGGCCCTGGTGGCGGGAAACGCAGGCTGCCAACCTATAGGATGGCAGTTCAAACCTACCAGCTGCTGTTCGGGAGAGTCTGCTCCCTAAGGACTGAGCCTCGGAGACCCTCGATGGGGTGACACAGGGTCTCTGGGGGTCTGGGTGACTCGGTGTCAGTGAAGTGAAGCCAAGTAAGTTTACAGACTGTCTGACAGCAGCCTGCCTTTCCCCTCCCCCGCTCAGCTAAGAGGGGATTGGGGAGCGGGGGTGTGGGACTGGAGGTTGGTGGGGAAGGAATCAGGGGGGTTCCAGCGCTGGGTGAGGTGGGGTTATGGCTGAGGCTCGCTGCAAAGGCAGGGTGCATGGTGCACCCCTACCCTGAAGGCAAATTCAGAGGTGATGAAGAAGCAGCTAGGGCAGTAACAGGCTGCAGCGCCAGCAGGACCCCTGAGAACATTGCTGGAAGGTGAGGGGCACCAAAGGGAACCCACAGCCCCAGGACTCTCAGTTTCTTGCCTGTGGGGGATTTCCTTCCTTCCCATCTCAGTCGAGGGTCTTCGGAGACTGCCCCCAGCCCACAGGATGGACACACAGAGGCCCACGCGTGGTGTTTCTCTCTTTTATTTAAAAACAGTGCTTCATTACCATTTGCAAAGGCAGAGGCAGAGCAGCTCCTCCTCCGCTGAGAGTTTATAAAAGCCAGCAACATGATCAATAATTTATACACATGAGAGGAATACAAAAAATAAGGAAGAAAAGCTAAAGAGCTAACTACTCCGACCTTCACAATTCCAGCTACTTGATAGTAATAGGAGTAACCCAATGAATACTGTATGGTCTGAAAGCTACTATACAATATGATTCTTAACAAGAGGGGGATGGGGCTCGGGACTGTCACAATGCCGGCCGCCTGGGGACACTTCTCTGGAGTTACAGGGAAACAGGACCCTGGGCAAACAGCTCAGAGGTCCCAGGGAGGGAATCTGGGAGAAGGCTAGGTGGTCAATTACACAAGCATCCCACATGATGCCCCCCTCCAAGCCTCTTAGGTACCTGCTTTGCCATGGCGATGAGGGGGGAGGAGAGAGACTGCATGTTGCCATGGGGACAGGGGAGGGGAGGGTCTGTGGCAATTGTAGCCGAGACTGGGACTGGGAAGCTCAGAGGCGCAGGGCATCGGTCTGTCCTTTGGGGACAGGCAGACGCCAGTGGCTCTTGGTGAGCTTGGCAGGCCTAGCTTCCGAGTCAGCCCAGGCCTGCTCCGGCTATTCACAAGCAGAATGGTAACACAAGAAAAAGGGGATAAAAACAACAACAACGAAACAATTCATATCCTTTAAGGAAAAAAAAAAAGGACCAATTCATCACTCGATATATAATACAGCCAAAATGAGCTGCGCAAACACGCGGCGCGCACACACACACACTGAACAGAAAAAATACAAGAAAATGACAAGCTGGGAGTGGGGGGTGGGGGGCGGGGCAGGGAAGCAAGGGGGAGGAATTAGACACTGCTTTAAAACGCTTATCAGACCCCAGAAAAACCAAACTTAAAAAAAACCAACAAAACTGTTTTGAAGAATTCCCAAACTTATGGTCCCCCAGGAATCTGGTGGCAGTTAACCGGGGTAGGGTAAGGGAGAGGGTGGGGTCCCCCCAGCTCCGTTGTGGCTGACAGCAGTTCTCAGTTACCGATCCCTGCCAACCAGCACTACCATGGCTGTGTTGATCGACCGTTTTCCTGAGTGAACTGTAACTGGCTACAGTTTCGGTAACGAAAGTGAGAACTCGCTGCTATAGCCAACGGCAATATTTCAGGGCTCGCCCTTACCCCCCACCGCTCCTCACATATTGCCCATCTGCCAGTCTGCTCCTGCATGCACTACACCGGAGGACACACGCAGAGTCTGCTGGGAAAAGGCCCTGCTCTGGTCTCTCGCTCTTTGACGGCTACTGCCTTGCTCATCAGGAGAGCAAGGAGGAGGAAGTACATGGGGAGAGGGAAGGGGTGGGAAGAGGCTTCTGGGAGGAATAGCTCCGAGAAAACCGAGTGTTGTATGCAACAGTGTGTCACCGGTGTGTACTACAAATGGTCAGACGTGCTCAGCAGCATGACACACACCACACACACACACATACACACTCTGACGCAGTCATGTTCACCTTGCCACGATTGGGTTTCTTCCTCTCTTCAAAGGGTGCACACTGGTAACTTAGGCTCTGGAAACACCACTACCCCTTCGCCACCCCAAGTTGAGTCTTGGGGATGAGTAGGAACCGGCAACTCTGGAAGCGGGCCTTGGCGGAAGGAGGACCGTCCACCGGACGCCTCCTCTTTCCCTTCTTGCATGTCTGAGTGCTTCTCAGACTTCCCTCCGCCCGAGGGAAGGGCTTGTCTTGCATACGCTTGGGACTGTGTCCATCCTTAGTGACCCTTCCCTCTCGTCTGGAAGCTGTGCGCCCAACCCTAGGATGGCGGGATGAGCTCGCTTCTGGCTCCAGCTTGAGCAAGTCTGCCCTAAAGGAGTGGTTCACTTCTGAGAGCCGTGCACACAATGAATGCATCTCCAGAAGCGTCCCCAGCCCGAGTCTTTTCAAGCAAAAAAAAAAAAAAGGTTGGCTCAATTCAGATTGTAGCTGGTGGACAGGGAGGGTGGGGTCTGAGACACCCGAGAGCCATAAGAATGATGAACCACAACTGTTTAATAGGGCTGACGGGTGCTGAACCAGGTACGACAGGGGATTCCGGGAAAGACCTAAGGGTGGCTCTCTGGGCTGAAAGAGAGGGTGCAGATCAAGGGTTTCCACTAGAGGCCTCCTTGAAGGAGCCAGGCTCCAAAAGGAAGATGCTTAGTATCAAAGTCTCGGCTGTGGCTACAGAAATGCTCTCAATTCACTCGGACGGTGATTCCGCACCGGTGGGCCCTGGGATTTCCCAAGCAATGTCCTTGATCAAGTCCACAGGAAGCCGAGCGTCCTTTGGATTTGGCTTCTCATGCAACGAGAACCGGAGTCGGGGTCTGCCAGATGGCGGCCTGCCTCTGATGCGAGCTTGGAGTGGCCACAATGCAGGGTCAGTTGCTGTGCTGGCTTGTCTGTAGTGACATTGAGAACCAGCGGCTCTTTACTCCGCTAGGTCTTTCTTAGAACAGGGGGCTGTAGGAAGCAGGCTTACAAGTCCCCCTGCAGGAGCAGCAGAAAGCCACCGGGGATCCGGAGCCAGCCCAGTCTTCAGCCAGAGCCAGCCGTTTGAACGGAAAAACACACTAGGTGCCTCCTGCTCAAGCGTCTGCCTCTTCTGGACCCCCTCCCCCCGCAGGCTCGCCTCTTTCTTGGAAGAAAGCAGAGAACGATGCCCACCCGCCCCCTTGGCCACGGTGGAGCACAGCCTTGCAGAACTTGGCCTCGCTTCTGACTTGGGAGGAAGGCCCCTATTTGAACACATCACATCTCAATCTTTGCCTGACAGTAAGAGAGCCCTCTCTCGCCACACAAACAAATGGGAGAACACAAAGGCCACTCTGCTCCCGTCCCCTAGAATGGTGACAGCCCTGTACACTATCCCCCTCCCCTAACTAAAATATTTATGTACAAACAACAAAAATTGTCTTAACAGCAACAAACCACTTTGGCTCGGGGTGGGGTGGGGAAAGGACCCTTACAGTGACTGCATGGGGCCAGGCGCGGCCTCCCCTCGTGTCTCTGGGAGCAGCCGTCTCATCCCCGGGGGCACTCGTCTACCAGAGGATTGCAACAGTGTCGAGAGCCTGCTATTTTCATCCAGGGATGTGAACCAGTTACGATGCATGGAGGCAGGAGTTAAAACAACAACAAAACCAAACTCACAGCAAGCCACACGCCTGGGTCTCTGAACTACTCCCTCTAGCAGCTCTCCCTCGGGTGAAAGGTCACCCTAGTACCAATGTGAAGAGACCAGGGACCCAGAGACTGCACTTTCCTCTGCTCTAGCAGGGACTTCTGCAGAGGGCAGCGCTCCCCTACTCTGGTAAAGAGGTAAGCAGCTAGGCGCACCTCTCCCCACCAACAGGTCAGATCCTGGCCTCTAGACCCTCTCCTTCCAGGTCAGCGGGAAGCCACTGCCAGGCTCTGCGGCTGGTGTCCTGCGGGCTAGGGAGTGGTCCAGTGCTCAGTGGGGGCTCTGTGGAGGGTCAGGAGAAGCTGGGTGGGCAGCAGAAAGCCTCAAGATTGAAGCGAGGAGGCTGGCAAAGGTTCCGGACGATGGAAGTTCCTATGGCTTTGGAGCTCGCTCGGAGTGCCTCTGCCTCCTTCCACACCCACTCCCCAAGGACAGCTGGTCGCTGACTGTGGGCTGCACCGGCTTCCTGTGTTTGCACTGCATTTACAGATGCCCGAGCACACCACTGGCTCGAGCCGAGTGACCACCAGGCATCTCGCATGCCAGGTCTCGTCCTCACCTGCTGCGGTGGCCTCTCAACCACCTGCACTTGGATTCCTCCGACTGTGTCCAGACCCTGGGAGGACCTCTGGCCACAGGCTAGTCCCCTATCCCTGGGTCCAACACTCCTGCATCCTGGGGACAGGGTGCTAACAACAGGACTGGTAAACTCGGTGGTGGTTCGAGGTGAGGGGAGGTAGCCCGGCTGACGAAAGGAAAGAAGGATCTTTTCCACAAGAAAAAGAGCTCAAACCCAGGGCTTAGGACCTGCAGTCAGAGAGAATGTCTGGAAACACGCATATTCCAATTCCAGAGATGCCGCCGCCAAGGGACCCAGGCCGGGCCTGCCAGATGATGGTTCAATAGAACGGAGAAGACGGGAGGACAGAGGAGAGGAACATCGGCTGTTTAATTCTCCTGCTCTGCAAGCACAAATTCCTATCATCTGTCAGCATGTGGATTCCAGCCACAGCCGAATAGAACTGCCTGCCGAAGGCCAGAAACCGAGGAGCTGAGAACAACCTGCTGCAGAGAGGAAGGAAGACAGGTCCCCATCCCTCCCCCTATGCCTGCTTCTCGCCGTCCCAGCCTCTCAGCACCAGATACACGTGAGTCGTCTGTCTGCTGAGGCCATGCCTTTCCCAGCCCCCACGGTTCCTCCTTCCTCACTCGCTGCCTCTCCCCTGAGGGACAGAAGAAGCTAAGCATGGACAGACAGACATGGAAATGCATTATTTTTTTTAACCACGGTTTAAAAAAAGAAAAAAAAAGAGCCAAAAACAAAACAAACGAAAATAAAAAAGAAAACAACAACCGAAAAACCAAAAAGCACAATCTTTGGAACAAAAGAATTAAAGGCAGAAATTTAAAGGAAAAAAAAATACATATTCAAAGAACATAGTGAGGTATAAAAAAGTATTCTCTTTTTTTGTGTTTTTCTTTTTTTTGTTGTTTGTTTGTTTTTCCTCTTCATCTTGCTATAGAGTTCCTCTACTAGTAAATATTGCAATAGCCAGGCCTCACGAACTGGGGCTGTCCCATGTGCAGGGTCTCACGTCACTTCAGTAGGGGGCAAATCGGCTGTAGCCACCTCGGTATAAACTTGCCTGCAGTTATTAAAGACACAAAGAACAACAACAGGCTGGTGAGAGAAGCGTCACAGGTGAAGTCAAGCTGCTGTTGAAGCTGTGAAGGGGCACATCAGACACTGCCTGTGGGGGGTGCTGCCCTCGACCCAGAGCCTACCATGGTCTCACGGGCTGGAGAGGCTCAGGGAGAGGAGGGAGGCTTCGCTTAATTAACCAGAGTCTAGCTTTCAACGGGTGGGGGGGATTTACCCCGTGAACCATAAAATATTAGGCTGCTTTCTGGAACACACTCTAATCTTTATGCAAGGCGACTTGAAGACGTTTGTGGAAAAATGACATGATCTTCTAATTCCGCTTCGTCCATGAACTTTTTGTATATGTGCTGGCGAAGCGAGCACTCTCCATGAACGTTTTGGAAGCCCATTGGAGAAGTGTGTGTGTGTGTGTGTGTGTGTGTGTGTGTGTGTATGTGTGTTTTGGGAGGGGGGATCTTAATGTACTGTTCTTCAGGGACATATCCTCTCCAGGGCCACTCTGAGTCTCAGCTCACTGATACCTTGTGACCAGGGACATCTGTCCTGACCTCACATTGCACATCCCTAGCTCCTCGCTCATACTTTTCTCCAGTGGGGGGACATGCCACTCAGCCAGCTTCCTTGAAGTCCTCCATGTCACCAAGAGGAGACTGGACGTGAGGACACTGCTGGGAGCACCTGTGTGCGGCTAGGACAGTTTAGTGCCACCGAGTACTAGGAGTTGCAGGTTCATGAAAGTACCGTATTCTGCCACAGATGGTATTGCTATAACATCCTTGAGTACAGTTATTGGTCACCTGGCTATTTCTAGGAGGCCTAGGGGAACTGTGACAGCCCGTGGCACCTAGCCCTGAAACTTAACACACAGTGTGTGTCCTGCAGTGTGTGTGAAAGCTAGAAAGCAGGATGACACCTATCATGCACCCAGTCACGCTGTGCTGCTGGTGGGTCCCAGCCACTATAGGATGCCAACCCACTCCCTTCCCTCACTCACTAGCAGACGATGCCATTATTCAGGGCTGAGGGTCACTGGCTGTTCCCTCCTGCCTCTAGCACCCAGGCTCAGACTACAACCCCCACACAAAGACGGGGCCGTCCAGTGCCTAGCTCGTCCTCCGTGGCTTCAGTAGGAAAGAAAGCTGGGTCCTTCGCAGCCCAGAGCCTTTGTAGTCTGTGGGCACTGAGGCAGCCGGGGGAAGTGGTTTAATGAAAAGAGGTCTGTGTACTCACCACAGCGCCAACTCCATAGCTAGCGGCAGGGGCAAGGGCATGGTAGGGGTCTGCTGTGTACACCCTGCCATAACTGGAAAGAAGAGACGCAGTCAGAAAGCGAGGCAAGACTGTGGTCTACAAATAACAAGTCGCCGCAGGAGGACTGGGGGGAGCGGGGCTGAGCTGCGGGTTTGGAGGTGACTTGGAGTGCTACAGGAAACTGGCAGAGCGGGGGGAAACATCGCTTTTTTCCCAAACGGTGGGACGCCGACAAGGTGTGAAGTGCTTCTAGACGGTGCGGATGAAGGGGAGGTGGAGATGAGGAAGAGGGCAGCCAAAGACGATTCAGAACGAGTGTGCAGAAGCCAAGCCCCTGGAAGCACTGCCTGCAGACCACCCCTGTGCTCAGCGCCTTTGGGAAATGGTGGTGGCCAGTGGTGCTGGGGGATGTCGCGGTGCCTGTTCTACGTACCCGTCGCTGTAAGCGGCTGCAGCGGCTGCAGCAGCGGTGGCTGCGGTTGCAGTGGCAGGCTGTGCATATCTGTAGGCTGCATATCCACCCTACAGGAGAGAAGAGAACTGACTTTACAGCTACCTCTCCCCCCCAGCCACACACGCGCACGTGCGCGTGCACACACTCACACACGCGCACACACACGAGGACAGACAGACACACTGACACATACAAGGGAAGAAAATGCTTCAAACTGCACCCGTCTGCATGTTGCTCTACTGGTAGAAAATTAAGTTCCATGCAATTTGTTACGCATATCCAGAACTTGACTAAACTGGCACTACAGAATTACTTGACGTGGTGGAAGGTTCAACTTTACTTGAATCCACAGGCGATGCCCGTGGAGGCAGCAGTCAGGAATTCGAATGACTATTTCATTGGATCGACGTGCTGCACACGCATGTGACTCGGGCCACGGCGTTTTCAATCACTCATGCATGCAAAAGCCAGACGGAGAACCAGGAAGCTGGAGAACTGAGGCCTCTGACGTGGGCACTGGCGAGGAATACTGAATATGCCCCGGACTGCCACAAGAACAAAACACATCTGTGCTAGAGGAAGTCCAGGCAGAGCTGGCCCACCTGCAGGGATAAGGATGGTCAGACTCTGTCTCACCTACTTTGGGGCATGTTATCAAAAGGGACCAGGCCCTAGAGAAGATGTTGTGCTTGGTAAAGTAGAAGGTCGGCAAAAAAGGGGAAGACCCTCAATGAGATGGACTGACTGACTGCTCGCAACAACGGGTTCAAAAGCTAGCCAGCAAAGGTCGTGAGGATGGCATAGGACTGGGCAGTGTTCTGTTCTACTGAACACAGGGACTCGAATTGGCATCACCCAACAATAATGCCACCTGCTCTCAAATTACGAAACAAAGATAATTTTGGAACTGTATTATTCTATAAGTCTCTGCTAAAACTTTTAGGAGCGGAGATATTTGTAGAAATTTGGCAAATCTTTATGAGATAAACCCAACTGCCACCGTGTTGATCCTGACTCACAGCGACACTGCAGGACAGAGTAGAATTGCTCTCTAAGGTGTCCTGAGATTGTACATCTTTATGGTAGCAGAGAGCTTCACTTTTCTCCCATGGGGTGACTGGTGGGTTAGAACCATCAACCTCGTGGTTAACAGGCCAACAAAACCCACTGTGCCACCAGGGCTCCTTAGCGGACTGACAAGAAGGGTGAATTGTAAATCAGCACATATTACGTCTCTTTTCTTTCTTTTTTTACATATTATGTTTCTGTGCGCTAGCATTAGCGACTCTGATACTCCTCGCATTAATTTGTCACCGAGACTACCCGTGAGAGAGACCGGCGCTCCACGGGCAAGGCCCATATGCAATACTGATGAAGAAAAAGCAATGTAGGCCAGGGGCCAGCACACTGAGGACTGTGAGCCAACACACTTGGCCTGCCAGCTAACTTAGAAAGCAGGCATGACTGAATCCGATGACTGATGGATGCTGAAAAGTCCAGGGGGTGGGGAACCACCTAGACCTCCAACCCCCTCGCCCCGGTGTACACTTCAGAGTCCAGCAAGTCAACCACAACTAGCTGAGGGTCCTTCGGCTGGATGCCAACAGGTCGGGCGAGTGCCCCCACCCTGAGCCGCATCTACGCTCCTCCTCCTGCGGGTGCTTCTCTCCGTGGTACCAACCTCATCTTCAAAAGGGAGACAAACAGGGGTCATCAAAGCAGTTACACTGACTCACGGGCAGCTCACTTCTGAATTCTGCTTAGAAACGTACTTTGCTTGCCACACGGCAGAGGTGGACAGTCCCAGAAAGGTAGAGGCTCACAGTGGGAGGGTAGGCCTTCACCTTAGACCCTCCGCTCAGCAATCTCCGTGTTGCTCCTGGGCTGGGGTGCAGTCTCTCGGGGCATGGTGGCCAGTCAAGGGCTGGGTGCATCACGCTAATTCTGCAGTCCAGCAGTCCCTCTCCCTGCTCTCGGCCTGCCTAAAGGGGCTTCAGGGCTGATGTCACTGCTCACCCCAACAGCCCCACATGCCCAGCCTCTGCAAAGTGGGCTTCCTTCCAAACAGCGGGGAATTGGGGCACAAACGTTGGGAATGGGTCTCTTTTCTCAGCGGCAATGACGGGGGAGTTTGTGTTTGGTGAGGTTTTCGGTCATGCGGGTTAGGGATTCGGAGACCATTGTTGACAGGAGGCTCCCGGAGTCCATCAGCATGAAGGAAAGTGGCGTGCATCCTTTCTTTCTTTTCAAAGGCGAGCCTACTCTGGCACGCCTCCTTCTCCTGCTGCAGAAGGCCAACCAGGGGGCTGTGTTTAGAGGAGCAGCCCTGAGGGCGCAGTGGTTAATGCCCCACCAGTGCTGATGGCAGGAGGAGGAGGACCCAGGCCATAATGTTAGAGTCCTGCAAACCTGTGACGCAGTTAGACTCAAACAGGTCAGAATCGCCTTGATAGCAAGGAGCTATCTTTTTTTAAAAAAAATGTTTAATGGACAGGCATGATCTTAACAAACTGAGGGTATCCATGCATGGTTCCCAAGGGTGGGAAAAATGAAAGGCAACGGGAGCCTGTGGACTCTTAGGTCCATTCCCCAGCATTCCTGCGACTCCCGGAGTTGGTTACTCAGGAAAACAGATCACAAGATGCAAGGCAAGGGAAAAGGCAGCGGGCTCTCATGTTTTAAAAAATAATTTCAGGGAACAGAGAGGTTCGATGAGAAATGGTCTCCCCAAATTCTGCTCTGCTCCCCACTCACTTCTACTGGCTAACCCGAAAGCTTTTCCAGAAGGAACATGAGACCAAAGTGCAGTTTCAAACATGAAGGTTTTCATTACGGGTTCTGAAATGTCTTAAAAAACAAAACAAATCAAAACAAAAAAAAAAAGAACAGGGGCAGGGGAGGGGTGGGAGACAGGGTTCAGGCGTGGGGAGGGGGGATGGCGCCACGTTTATTAATCACATTAAAAACTAAGCATGCCAACATCTGAGCTAAAACAACCAGCAAAATCATCACGTTCAGACTGGTATTGGCTAACTATCTATCCCAGCATTCTCTTGGGACAGCGGTTCGCCCTAGCTCTACCACAAGCTTGGTGAAGTACACAGCCTCAATTACTAGAGCGTGCAGCCACAACGACCTGGTATTACGGAAACAGTCAGTCACCACTTGAGTTAACATTCCAGACCCTAACGACTGGCCCCGCCCCAGCCCAAGAAAGAATCAATCTTGCCCACCCTCGCCCTGGCCCACACCACGATGTTAATAATTATAACAAGCAGTAACCCATCTGTTATATCAGAGAAGGGAACAGAGACGTCACTGAGAGATTTAGAGTGAGATGTTAACATTTCTTCAGCTGACTGCACAAACAAACAAACAAAAAAAAAAGAGGAGAAATAATTCATTTGGAGATATGAAGTCATGAAATAGCTGATGTGTACTGCTTTTAACCATGCACTGATGCAAAACTGAAGCAACCATTAAGAATAAAAATTAAAAAGGACATATGTATTTACACACAATCAGACCTGTTTGATCTGAAGCAGTTTGCAGATTCTATCTGTGTGTGATTTGAAATAAAACAAAAAAATGGGGATTAGCATGGCCACGGCACACCCTGACATAGGAGGGCACACACACAGACAGCTTGGGAGCCCTGGCAGCGAGGGAAGTGTGGAGGGCAAAGCTGACCCAAATGCACAGTGTCCTTTAGAGAGAAGACCCCTAGCCCTTGGTCATTCACCCTGAACTGCTGGCTTACACTGGGGCAGCCCCAGGCTACACGGCCCCCTCGACGAGCCAGTGTGGCAAAGCGCGGCCTGCAGCACCCCCTGGGACGGACACCCGCCTGCCCTCCACAGCACTCATGGATCCTGACAAGAGCCCCCGTGTTTAAGAATTCTATCTTTGCACGATCCTGAACACAACTCTGCTGTTAACTCCCAGCTTTTTCAGAGGCAAATGCTGTTACCTCTAAGAGCTTTTTCCACAGTGACTCCTGACAGTGTCAGAACCCGTTTTCCCTGGTTCCTAGGGATTTCTACACCACTCTCCAGCCCGTTGTCAGCTGGTGAGCGCTACAGTGCTGCCACGCTGACTCCACGCCTTTTCTGCACAGCACTGTGGCCCCCGCGGCCATCACAGGAGGGGGCTCTACATGTCACCGCTCCGGGGTCTGGCCTGTTCCCACAGTTATCCCCTTCATCCTGACTAGAACCTTGCCTTGACTTTGACCACGGTTTTATTTTGGGTGACATTAAAATAGGACTTTGGTGAGCATGTGATGTCAAGACACCTTCTTTCTTCCTGGAAGACAATGACATCATGGGACACTGAGGAGAGCTGTGTATTTCCAGACCAGCAGACAGAATGAACGCTTGTCACCCTGGGTGGTGCACAGGTCTCTGGTCCAGTGTAACCAAGGAGCCAGGTAGGGGTGTGTGTGTTTGTGTATGTGTGTGTGGGGGTGGGGAGGGGGGCAGAGAGGCAGGGGTGTGCGTGTGAGAGAAGGGAGGGAGACGGAGAGGCAGGTGCTGGCCTTCTGGTCACTGAAGCTGTGCAGAGGCCCACCAGCTGACTTTCATCACTCTCAGCCTTGGGGTCTCTCGCCCGGGAGAGGGTCCTACCTTCCTTCGGTCCCTTGCTCCCTCCCCATCCCAGGTAAGAGCACTGGGCTGCATTTCCATGATGGAGGAGAAAGGAGCTTAGGGCCTGTAAGTCAAGCAGGACTTCCCCAAATTTAGTTCCTTTCCAAAATCTCATTGGACAGCCACATGAGAAACGGACTGGACTGTGGAGGGTCTTTCTCCAGCTAGCATCCAGGGAGCAGCAAACTTCCTGACAGCCCACGATTATCCAAGGGACCAGACTGTCCTTCCTTTAAGGAGCAAGACAAGAGGGCAGGGTGAGCTCAGAGTTTGTCTTTAGAACCCCAGCCCACAGGTCTAGCCTCTGAAGGTAACTTTAAGTGCCCGGAGCAGCACAGCCCAATACTGCTGTGGTTTCACGCAGTGCCCAAAGCAGCCAGTGCCCTACTCCTGTCCTTTGCACATTTCTACCACCATAAGGAAAAGACATCCCTAACTGCTAAGATCGCCAAATAGAAAAGACCAGCTTAAACACCGTGGAGAAAAGTGATCGACAAACTGAAAGAGGCAGCAGTGATGGGACAGTGCATGTGACACCCCTGGTGTGGCCAAGCGGCAATGGGCCAGGAGCGCTGAATTTGGGAGGAAGTGCCACTGGGTTGGAAACTTGGCTGTGTGCGCTGCGGAGGTAGCAGGCCTTAGGCCACACGCACAAGTCTGGATTGTCCAAAAAAGCCTCTGTTCCCATCTCTAACGTGGAGCTGGAATGGTTAGTATAATTCCATTTGTTTCACTGCAATCCACAATCTGATTGGTTGGCAGGTCACACTGGCACTCCTACCTGAGGTATTTTAGCGCTAATGATTGGTTCCTGTAAGACTATTCTATAACAGAACACAGGAAGAGCAGTTCAAAAACACAGCTGTGGAAGGAAACAATCATACAAACAAGCCCGCTCAGGGGCCCACCAGCCTTTTCTTTCCCTTGGATGCAAGCATGCTTCTCACAGGAGGGCTTGAAGCTGTTGTCACCCACTGGCAGAGTGGGTCAGGGTGGACTGTGCCTGGCCTATGGGGTCATGATGAGTCAGAATCCACTCACAGGCGGTGAGCTTGGTTTCGGTTAGGTGCCTTTTCTAGGAGGTGGAATTGGCTTGCCGGTCAACGGGTCTGGGCTTTGGTTTGGAGGGCGTGGGGAGGCAAGGTGGACAAAGTGTCTCAGCCACACTCCCCAGTCCTGCTTTGGTGGGTCTCCTTACAGGAGGACCCATGGGCTACATCAGGGCTCTAGAGGAGCGGGTCAGGGACGAAACAGAAAGGAAGAAAACTGCTAGCAGGAACCCTGGTCTACGCCCAGTTCAGGGCTAGGGGTTACCCAGATGGCCAGAGTTCACAGCCTCAGTAGGTAGAGCGCCCATAAAACCAGCACCTTCCCATCTTTCCCTGCTGGCGTCCTCTTCAGGCTCTGGGGTTCCCTGCACTTGTTGTAAGAGATAACCCACCACTCCCTGCATTTCAAGGAAACGAGAACTACACTTGGAGGGACGGAGGCCTACAGATGCGCAGATGTCTGGCGCGGGGAGGGACAAACTCAAGGGGCAGCGGCAACACTGCTTCTCGCTTGCTTCGTGAGGCACCCACCACGTGCGCTCTCACAAGTCCGGAGCAGGCGACAGGGAGTTGACAAGCTGCCTCTCTCTGGGACTCGGGGACCAGCAGCCTCATGGTCACGCTGCTTCTCACCAGTGGGCTCAGATACTATTCCAATACTGGTGAACTTTTCTCTCCAAATTACTTTGAGAGAGGAATGAACAATAATCATTATCAATTCCTTTCACCAACAGGGGCCACTAGTCAGACAGGCGAAGGGAAATAAAAGGGGAGGGGGGAGGGAGAGACAAAGTGTCACTGAATTAATTCCATTTAGTTTGGTAAGGTCGTCCAGAAAGGAGATTGAAAACACCAACAGCAAGTGTTTTCTGGATCACTACAGAAAAACCATCTCTCTCTCTTAATAAAGGCATATATTATGAATTAGGAAGAGATGAGCACTGTAAATAAGTATTTAACCAAGTGAAAGTACACAATACGTTCAAAAAGCTCAAATAAAGATAGAGAAAAACAAATTTTAAAAAGATGTTTTCTGAAATAATCTACATGGAAAAGGCTTGCTGTAAGAGATCAATTTTAAAGAAAATAAATAAGAGAGATGAATTTCATGAATTATGAATACTAATCTAGGAGAATGTGCATGCTAAGATCATCTATAAATAGCTATTTCTAGAAAGGTGTAATTTGGCATAAAAGAGGGATATATTTTCCCAACCATCACGTGTCACCAGAGGTATGGTGGCAAACCAAGAAATGGAGGACAGCGATGAACTTTCAAGTACAAAGGAGAGGTAATAGAATACGGACTAGGTGGGTTGTACGCTTTGCTATATAACTTATGTAATTCTGGGTAAATCATCATTTCTCTAGAACACACCTATGAAGTAAGATGGTTAGAACCCACACAGCTAAGCTTTCCTATGAATATTTCTTACGTTAAGGCCAACTTTGACGAGCTAAGGAGCCCTGGTGGTGCTGTGGGTTAGGTGTGGGCTGCTAACTGCAATGTTGGCGGTTCAAAGAGAGTCTTGGAAACTCTATATGGGATTGCTATCAGGCAGCATTGACCCATTGACAGTGGGCCCGGTTTGCTTTTGGTTGATGGCCTAAGGAACCCAGTGGTACAGTGCTAACCACAATGTTGGCAGTTCAAACCCACCAGCTTCTCCTTGGGACATAGATGAAGCTGCCTGCTACCATGAAGAATGTTGAGGAAACCCCAAGGAGAAGTTCCACACTGTCATATTGGGTCTGTATGAGTCAAACTGAACCCATTGCCAGTAGGTTTGCTGGCCTACTTGAAATAGCATGGGCATGCACTGTTAGCTGGATCCATTTCTTTCTTCCTTTTATTTTCTGGACCAATTCCTAAATCCTGCAACATCCAGAGCCTCCAAATGCATTCTGAAAAAAATACATTGGTTTTTATTAGACAGCCAGTGCCTCTCTGGCAGGCTCTGAAAATAGTTCACTGAGAAGGGCCCCTTAGTGATCGGAGGCCGGAAGGGAGGGCGAAAGCATTTCCAGACAATTCTAACCTATTTCCAGAGCAATTTTCGGCTGGGAAGCTGGTTCTTGTACAACTGACTCTTAGTGACTTGTGTGGTAGACCAAGTTTTCTCTCAGTACAAGACCATGCCGAGAAGTCCTAACAAAAGATTTCCAGATTCAAACTTCCATCTGCTGTCAGATCACGTAGTTAGATCACATGTGACACACCAATCACAGGCTCTCACGCAGGCTAGAGTTTAAAATCACGTTGCATAGGTTCCCGTGGCTGGGAGACTGAACACATTTTGCATATTACTCCAGTGTTTGTCAAGAGAGTCATCTCGGTTGCTAACTAAGTGATTTCTTTGCCCCTGGACAGCTGCTCAGAAGAGAGACCTCCTCGCTGGTTGTGGCTTCACGGCACAGTCCTCCTCCTCCCCCTCCCCACCCTCATCTGCTATCAGCTCCTCGCTTCACTTTCAAGGCTAACACTCTCTCAACAGATGGACACTGGGAAAACCCAAGTCCAGGATGCTTCTTGCCGCCTCTACCTAAGTCAGGGCCACCACGACCTACAGAGGGATGTGAGATGAGAAGACAGGCAGCAAAGGGGAAGAGTTGGTTGGGGCGTGGAGAGTCTGGCCGACGTGTGCAAACAAGGGAGAAGCAGTATGAAGGGCTTCACACCTGCTGACTGCCTCGTAAATGCGGGAGTGGTACCGGCTTATCTGTGGGTACAGGGAAGGGAAAAGAATATGTCCAGTAGCCTGGCCCTAGCAATGACCAGGACACCCAAAGGCTTAGTCTTTGCACCCAGGGGCAAGCGCAGTGGCAGAGAAGCATGCTTGCATTCTTAAATACAGAAATATATATATGTATATATCCACAAGGAAAAAATTAAAGTCAAATAAATTATATTAAAAAAACAAAAACAAAACAAAATGAAGAAACCAAACCAAACCAAAGAACTGGGAAAAAAAAGGCTGGCTTGTCAGGGGATGGGGTTGAGAAGGCCCCGGTGTGTGTGTACTTACATAGAGGTCAGCACCGTAAAATCCGTCCTGGTAAACCACACTGCAGAAAATCCACACAAAAACAAAAACAAAAAAACAAAAGAACAGAAACACATTCCGGTTATTGAGGACGGCAGCATGCACATGCGCTCTACACAGGCAGGTGATGTATGAATCCGAAAACTGGGCTTCGGGGCCGTGGCAAGTCGGGGCTTGGAAAGCGTGAAGGTGCATGTGCACATGGACACAGTTCGAGGACTGGGCGGGGACAGGGTGGGTGTGTGCTCCTGCACGGGACCACCCGGACGTTTGGCAATTCCAGTTAAGATGTCAACAATAAAGAGCCTTCCAAATCTAATGGGGTTGGAAACACCAACTTTCCAAATCTGAAGTGTGCGTCAATAAGCTAGCACCGGTGGGGAGGGGGGGAGTTCTTTAAGGAGCTGGGAGAGGGACTGTATGTGAAAAGATGTGCCCAAAGCGTTCCATCAGGGCAGGGCCTATATGCAAAGTGTGTTCCAAACTTACAGGGAGGGTTTAAGTTGGGTCTCCTGGTGAGATGTAACCGTCCCCTGAAATCCATACATCACCTGCGTTTTTACCCTGCACATTAGACATGCGATAAGATTGGCTGATCACACAAGCATGCAAAGTATTATTATTCAGCATTTTAAGAACCAATGCAACACCTCAGAAAAACAAGTCAATCAATTCTGACCAAAGTAAACAGAGAAATGTAATTAAAAAACAAAACAAAAGAAAAACAAAAAAACAAACAAAAGAAAAACACAACCAAAATACCCACAATGCATTGCTTTCACAAGCAGAGATAATGAGCTAAAAGGTTAAGGTGATTGGTCCAAGGTCCGAGAATTGAAAGGTGCAGTGGGGATCCCAGATAGTAACAATATAATCCAGAGTGGGAAGGAGTAACTGGAAGATTTTAAGGGCTCCTTTTGATCAGAAGACTATCCATGGAAATTCTAAAAAAATGTAATTGGTCACTGAAATTCTGTGCACGATCAAGGATCATCCTATTTAAAAGAAGAAAACTGAAAAGGTAGTAGGTTAGGGATAGAAGGATATGTTTACCTATTTAGAAAATTATTGTTTATCAAATAAATAAAGCATCATGTTAATTTAAAAAAAAATCCGAGCAACACTGTGCTAGATTTCAAACTTCTGAGGAATTCTTGCACATGTAGACTTTCCCCAAAGCATTGCCTTGGGATCAAAAGATATGGAACAGGAGTAGAAATAAAAGATTTCTTCTTCCTGTCTATTAAATCAAGATTTGACTATTTAAATTAGTGGGTCTGTTCCTATGAGCTGGTCAACTAAACAAGCTCACGAATTGTACTACCACTTTCTCTGGCACAATAAGCAGACCAGCAGGTGAGGTTGCAGCCAAAATCAGATTTTTAAATTGAACTTGAGATAACTTTTAGCATAAGTTTCTGAATTCTATTTTCCTGGAGCCAGAGCTTTAAAAAAGCTATTTGTCTCTCAATTGCCTTTTAGTTTTGGCTGTCCTTGATGAGAAAGTTGATAAAAAGAAAATGAGGCCAGGTGGTGCTTAATTAAGCTTCGACCATTTCAGTGAGATGTACAGAAACCATGCCTCTATTGAGAAGAGGGTGGCATTAAAATTACGAATAAAACCTACCCTAAGTTGGATGATTCACTGGGAACAGTCACAGGAATTCTGAAAGAATTCCAGTATTCCCTCTGTCAAATGCCATACAGAGGCTAGGCACACAATGGTTAATGATGAAATCGGTTTACTAAGCTGAAAAGCAATTCTAGGCCATTCCCCATAACGTACTGGACTTATTCCTTGCCATCTTCCTTGTGACAAAGTGGTTTCGCTAGTCAAAAAGACACACACGGGACATTATGTGTTTAATGTACTGCACAGAAACTGATGTGATTAGACATACAGCTAACAACACCTTCAAATAAATATACACCGGACAGACCTGGTAGAGCGTGGGCTCTCAAGTTTGGTTGATGTACTAAAATGACCTGCAAGGGGCAGAAACGAATCCTACAACTTCATAAAGTCACTCAAGAATGTTACAAACTAAAGAAATCCCACGTTCTCGGTGAGCATGTTCTTTCTGCAAAAAAGATGGTCAACGCCCCTGGGTCGGGATCGAAGGTGCTGCAGGAGCGGCTCGGCTAGCGTGTGTAGGGCTTCCCAAAGGCCTGTTTGTATGTTTTGGTTGATTAGGTCTTGATGATACAATAGTGCTTCGTTAGTCATTTCTTTAAAGGGGGATGTCAGAGGTTGAAGGTCAAAGGTTAAGTTTGGGGGGGGGGGTTTAAATTATAAGTCAGTAATGGCAGAAGATGGAGATGATGAAATGCATGGGATTTAAACATCCATAAACTACAAACAAAAGTTAATTCCTGAAGCAGTTCCCTTCTGTAGGCATTTCCACACGCCTACCGGCCTTGTCACATGAAAATGCTTTCCTTTTGTGGAGTGGGGGACCGCAGGATGGCCTTGCCATTTTGGATCTGAATAGGTGCTCAATCAATGCACCTCAAGATCAGACCAGAAAAGGACCGACAAAGGAGGCTCTTTACAATGTACCTAAGCAGCAGCTACTAGGCTTCTTTGCCACTACGCTTGTTTCTCAGGACGGGAAACAGCTGGTCCTACACAGACAAGATGAAGAGTACCGATGCCATGCCGCATCTCTGAAGAGAGAAAGTCCTTGGTACCACTGACTTATAAAGTCCACTCTTTATTAAAAAAAATGTACGTTCTAGGCCCTGACACTGAGAACCAACTGAGAACCAAAGCTGCTGCTCCTTCTCCCCCACATTCAATAGCAAAGGATTTATTTGTTGCTATGGAATCATTCCACTGCATGAGACACCCTCCAGACCAAAATCAACGGGTGAAGGATGCTCAGCTGAATTCGTCGTTTTACCATCATTCAGAAGCCACTGCAGTTTAATTCCTTCTACTTCTCCCTTTCTCCCTTGAGTCAATTGGACTTGGTTCATCTTTGAATTAACCTCTTTTAATCCGTTTCCTACAAAGAAAGCAAATCCATTGTGGGTAACTAGCTCTGCTGCTCACCACCCAGGCGGCGAGACCCTACGGGAGGCCCCTGCGAGGGCCTCGGCCCCCACAGGAGGTGGTGAGAAGGGTGAGCACAGCAGAGGCAGCCTTGTACTGCCACCTCGAGCTCCTAGTTTGGTTCTCTGCAGGAGTGTTATCCACATTCGTGCGATGCTGAGTGCGCTCCATGCCAACACACTGCTAGTAAACACGAGACGGCTCTGGCTACTGGCTTAAGCCGCTACGATGAGGGCTTAAGGTGGCCAAAATGAAGATTACTAGAACGAATTGGCATTCTGTTGCATTCTAATGGTGGCATATTTTGGTTCTCGCCATCTAATCCATTACTTTGCAAATATTCAATGGAGACGTCGACTCCGTGGCACGGCAACATGCCAGAAGAGATGGGAAGGCTACGGGATTCTGTTTTTGTCCAATTGCTTACTGTGGCTCCGTGGCTGGAATCGAGTGCTTACCCTGGATAGGCGGGGATGGCTGTTGGAGGTACCGCTCGAACTGCACCGTACACCGTCCGCCCTCTACCCCTCAGATGGGCCCCTCTGAAAGCCGCTGCCGTGGTGGCCGCAGTCGGGTAAGGGAAGCCAGGAACTAAAGGGAGACCCAAAATAGGACAGAAAGTTCAACTTGCATCCAATAGCAGGCAGATGGTTGCAACTTGCTTTAAAACAATGAAAAGATACATGCTGCATCTTTTCAGAAAAAGTGACATGTATGTTAGTCAATGTGGCCTGAATTGCCTACTCTGGATCTGAGTAAGATTTTAAAATGGAGAGTCACTGGTGTGCACAAAGGAGAATACTGCCAAGCCTCATTCATCCCAGATGAGTGTTCTCTGGTCCTTCCCCACCCGAGCACCACAACACCAGCTGGTGAGAAACTGGTCACGAGAGCACACGCAGGACTTCACATCTTTAGCTGGCCCTTGACTACAATCTTATTTATAAACACGAACATGGGCTTATTGTTAGCTCTTGGCAGAATACTCTTTTTAGTATTTTTTTTATATGGTGCCCTGCCCCAAAGCACCCAGTTTTCATCTAGAAACGTGACTGGGATGGAGGAGATTTCAGGCTGCAGGTCTATTCTATGTGGCCCCTTGGGGAAGCAGGCGGAGGCCCGGACTCGGCCTGCTGAGCTCTGTTTCATTACACCTCCGGCTGGAGCAGAACGCTCTGCCAAGGGGTGAAGGGCAAATCAGTGATAGCGAGGGTGTCTACTGGAGGGCCAGTGCCGACCTGCGGACAACATGGATGACACACAGATGCCACGAGAAACGACTGTGGTGTTCTTGACAGCAAGGACGAGAGCAACACGCTCTTCAGATGCCCTCTACCTTTCCAGCTATTTTGGGGGCAATCTTAATATGTTGCCAAGAAGGGTCTGGCACAGGTTAAGCAGCCAGGCCCCATGGCAGCATGTGCTCTCCCATGGCCCTCACTGGCAGGAGAGCTGACTCTAGGAAAAGAAGCCGAGTACCTCCCTGCTCCCTCACGGTGGCACACTCCAGGCCAGGTCGGTATAGGCTACTTACTGATGAGGGGGATGTACGTGTTAATACCCCCTCTTCCTGACAGGGGCACTGCCGCTTCATTGCCGAGGGACACATCTGCTTGAAAGCTGGATGCTGCTCAGAGTAAAAACAAAACACAAACAAAAACATGTTTAAAAGGCAAAACGGTTACAAAAGAAAACCAAACTGGAAACATAGGATGTTATTTCAAACTCGAGTTGATGCCGACTCAGCGACCCTATAGAACAGGGTAGAACTGCCTCTGGGGGTTTCTGAGACTGTAACTCTTTACGGGTCCGTGGTGGTTTCGAACCGCTGACCTTGTGTGGTTAGCAGCCCAACGTGTAACCACTATGCCCCCAGGCTCCTGCAGATGATAACCAGCACAGTGAAATAGCACAAATGGAAACATTAACTTGAATACTACCTGCATATAACTCAGGGCCATATACAGCTCCAACTACAGGGCTGAGCTTCCACCCTGAAACAGAAGGAAGGACAGCACACGGTTAGGATGACCCTGAAAAGGACAGGGAGCCAGCCGACCACGTGTCTACAAGGTGGCGCCAGGCCTCTCTGGGTCTGCGCTGGCCTACTGCCACCCTGCCCTCAGAATGACAGCTGGGGGTTAAATATATGACTGGGCTGTGACATTTCTGGTTTCATTGTCCTTGGCAGGGCTCAAATGATAAAGGGAGAAGGGCTGGAAACGGAGGGGAGAGAAGGGACAGGTGGAACAGAAGGGAAGGGGGGGAGGGGGGAAACCCAACCTGGAGGCCAGGAAGCAGGAAAATGGAGAGGGAATGAGAAAAGAACAAAGACACGTAAGTAAACGTAGGCTGTCTCTGGGTTACGACGAACCAGACCCATTTCTACAGGAGTGTCTTGTAGAATCAGTTGGTCTGTCGGGACAGGTGTACATACATGGGTCTTACTTCAGGGCAGTGGGTCTCTCAACCTTCCTAATGCCTTGACCCTTTAATACAGTTCCTCATGTTGTGATGACTCCCTAACCATAAAATTATTTTCGTTGCTACTTCAAAACTGTAATTTTACTACTGTTATGAATCGCACGAACCCTGTGAAAGGGTCATTGGACCCCCCAGAGGGATCGCGACCCACAGGTTGAGAGGCACTGCTTTAGGGCAAGAAAAGGCTCCTGATGGCTGTAGACACCGCGCAGGCAGCAAGTGGTTGTGAAGCATTTGTTGGAAATGGAGGTTGGTTCGAGCCTTTTAAAGGAGGGCGAGTTTACATAACCTTAGGGTAAGCAGGAGCTGTGGGTAGGCAATCACCCGGGTACAGGAGTAGGTGGGGCATAGTGGCTGTCACAGCACTGCCTCAGAGGACCTAGTCTTCGTTTGGAAAAGGGCAGACTATGCCATGCTGCACCACACTGTCATGCAGGTTCTTAGAGACCACCTCAACGCTGCTCACTGCTCGAGCTACTTCACATAGGCACCCTCTGGCTGAGGTCAATCTGGCCCAGCTCTTTGCCTTCGTGTCCAGTTACACCACGCTGACACACTGGGTAAGTGGAAATCCTCTTTCATTCCATTTTTAATCACCAAGTCAATATGGAACGACATGTAAGAAATGAAATTCCAGATAAATGCCCCACTTCAGAACACATCTTCCAAGGCTCTAATTTGTAATGAACATATTTAAATCAGTCAGGCTCTTTAGCTAACAAAGGATGTGAGGCTGCTCTGAAACTGAGATTAAACATTTATAGCTTTTAAGAATTTAAAATACGTTTGATGTTGTTTTTATTTCTTTGTCCCGGTTTTGTATATCTAGGACTATGGCAAGAGTTTTAAAAAGTGTACTAGCCTACGAATAGCTCTGCAGTAGAATTCTGTGTGAAGCTTTATTGCCTGGTTTTCACACTGAAGCAGGCCATAGGCTTGTTTTCCTGAGGCCTTTGGCTTGTGGTACTGCCACGCTGCTACACGGGAATGGGGAAGGAATAGGTCAATTCTATGGGGATTACTAGATTTACACGGTAATGTATAAAGAACTATCCCAGGGAAAAACAAAACAAAACCCCTTCATTCTGAACCAATTAAATTTCCAATTACTTTATATGTTTACCATAGTGCTGTCTCCTCATTATTCTACATAAAAATTTGGCAAATTCTGGGTCCAAATCTTACTTGATTGATTTGTCTGAGCAAAGAAGTTCTACAAGTGCAGACAAATCAAGTGATTCGACGTAATCAAGTGATATCGACGGAGAGGTCCCCAGAAGGCCCCTACGCCAGCATGCCCTTCTCGGAACTTTAAACTTGGCGAAAGCAGGTTTCTAGGGTTGGGCTTCTTTAGACTGGAATATCAGTTTGCAATAATATTTTTAAAAATCATCTATTTCTTGAGCCTTTCTGTAAACCTCAACAGTGGGTACAAGTTGGTGTGTTAATAACACCTCCTGTGTCTTTAGCTCCGTTGTGTGTACTTCACCGAGGTCTAAGGAAGTCATCTGACCCAGCGAGAGGATGAGCCCCATCTAGGCGACCATGGTAAGCCCTGTCTTTCTCAGGGCCTCATTTCCCTAACAAGCTGAGAGGGTTGGATTTTCATGACTTTTGAAGGGTTGGCGCTAAAATTCTTGGACTTAACTTACAGACACGAAAACAAGGCAGAAATTCGCCTCTCATGACAGTCAAACAAAGTGTCAAATCTAGACTCAGAGTTTCTTGCTCCCCAATTGCCACCAGAAGCTCTTTCTGCCACATCTTTCCCCCTAAGACGTAAGGGAAACTTAACACACCTTGCCTCTCTTCCTATGTTGTGTGAACACGGGTTTTTAAAAAGCAGAAATTGCAGAAATGTCTGTTTTTGTAGTAGCTGTGGACGGTGAAGAGTAAGAGGCAAGGTGGGAGGTCGCGCTATTGCGTGAGGCAGCACCGATGTGCGTGGCCGACTGTGCTGCGCTCTATCGAGCACAGCAGTCCCAGACTTTTCACAACAGCAGGAATCCCTCCCCGTTTCTCAAAGGAATGGACAGCAGGGCGGGTGGAGGTGCTCAGGTCCAAGGAGAGCAAGGGGTTTGAGGACCCCAGCCACTCCTCCACAGTCCCCTCAGATGGCTGGAGGAAACACTTCACAAAACCAGGGCTGAATTCCAGCTCAAGATGACAGACTCTCTCACCGAGAGAAGAGAGATCTCATTACATATGAGGACGGACAAATTCTGCTTTTGGTATACAAAATCCTCATGGAAATTTCCCTTTTGTTTATATAACTACCACATAACATATAACTTGCGAAGAGAAGATCACACACACACACACACACACACAAAATGTGGCTATTATGAGAGCAAAGGGTCCAGATTCTAAAAGCAATTAAACAATACGTATGCTTCCAACATGTTACACTCATGCTAAGATGCATAAGAACCAACAGTAAAGGCCAGAGCAGGTGGCCCTCCAGGGCTATATTATGAACAAGCCTAACCTATTACAGAGCTCTGAAGCTGGGAAAGTGGTGAAGGAGGTGAGCCGAGTGGGACCTAGGGTGTAAATGTTCTTGCACACAACACAATTCCAACTCGTAGCAAGACCGTGTGCTAGACGGGCCCTGCCCTCGCCGGCTTTCTGTGTCAGAGCAGGCTGCCACGTCTTTCTCCGCGCAGAGATGTCAGCCTTGCAGAGGCAGGGGAATGTCCCACCTCTGTGCCACCAGGGCGAATAGGCAGCCTTAAGTGGAATGTTTGCATGAGTGTCTAGGATAGATTTTATTGAGAGTGTACTACATCTGGCTAGCTACAAAACTTAGCTGAGTTCTAAGGAACAAAGCCTACACATGCAGAGAAAACACTCTCCTTGGTAACAAGACTCTTTTGGAGTAAATTCAACAAATTGCTGAAAGCAATGTGTCGTCTCTTACCATTTGCATATGGTGTGACCATCTTCTTATTGGTCATTACGCGTGCGGTAGCATTATTCACCTAAAAGTCAAGGAGAGGGAGGGGCAGGGGAAAGGATCGAATTAGGGACCATGGAGTTGCTCATCCACTGACACAGTACTTAATTTACGATACAAACTTCACAGAGTACTGATTTAGGTCATTCAAATAGCAGTAAAATAACAATATACAGTACTTCAATTAAAGTGCTTATTAAATGAGGCTAACACGAGTAAAATGTAGTTTCGTGGTCTCCACATGGAAAACCAGGCCTATTGTGCCACTCAGTATTCTCAAGTGAAAATATTATCTGTAAGTCCTTTGGAGGTCTCGGAAAACAGACGTCTCTCCATTAACGAGATGGGGCCAAGTAAATAGGAAGCAGCTCGATTTGGGTATGAGCTCTGAGGTTAGTACACAACAGAGGAATTTAGGTTCTCAGGATGACTGACTGACATCTCCAGGACCAGTCTGAATTTTCTAGATTGAGTTGTCTGGTCATTTAAGGGCAGCGTTTTCAGGCGGCCTTTAAAAATGGATATTTAAATGTGCCGAGAAAACAAAGCTCGTGTTTCTTTGGTCTTATGGTACTCTCCACCCTCAGTACAGAGCTGTGCAAGAAAGGGTCATTTACAGCATTCTTGTTGCTGATGGAGAAGAGAAGTGGAGCTGAGGATCCTACGGCCGGTGTCAGAACCGTATTCCTCTGAGCTCTGGCAACGAGGGAGAAGCGCACCACAGAACGCAATTACACTCGATGTTGTCAGGTCAGAAGCCAGACCACCTTAAAGGAAGCAATCCAACATATATGGATACAACATAAACATGTCAGATTTTGTCACCTATAATTCAAATTGTGCTAAGTGTCCAGAGTGATAAATTTAGAAAGCCCAGTTTTAGGTAGAGTTGGATATTTTTTTCTAAAGACGTCTTAACATGTTGCCTTTTTTGACTTGTTATAGTAATACTGCATAACCCACCTCCCTGAGGAAATGTTTGCAACTCCATTTACTCGAGTTTGACTCACCAAATAATATCAACATTTCACATTTAAAAAGAATGGGATACAACAATGATGAGACTGAGAGCATGCAGTTAACACACACACACACACACACACACACACACACACAGAAAAGAGGAAAAAAACAAAACGAAACCACAATCCATTTTGGGAATTAGGGAGGAGGTGAGGAGTGAGGTTCTCCCAGACACTGATTAGAAGGGAGCGAGAGCTTAAACCAGCTGCTAGGGCAGATCCCAACCAAGCACGTGAAAGGGAAAATGGCCAGAACCAATCAGAAACCACCAGTCAGCGAGAGACCAACAGCTGCAGGTCACGTGAGTGGGGTTAGAGAAGGGAGGGGGTGGGGAAGGGGCAGGAGAGAGGGTCAAGAGCAAAAAGGAAGTCTGGTAAGAAACAAGAAAAGAGCAAGGGGCCATGGCAGGTGAGCGGGCAAGATTGCTGTCCAGAGCAAAGGAAAAGCAGTCAGAGCTACAAACAGAGGGTTTGGGCCAGAGGAAAGGTGGGGAGGAGTTAGGGTCAGGAATTGCATTAATAAGACCAGCCAGAGTGGAGTTGAGTAACTCTGAGTAAGATGTGCAAGGGGAAAGTCACCATCAAGCCAGTAACCAAAGAGTTCGGATGGCTGCAAAACAGTATGAACATCCACAGTGCAGGCGGCATTACTCAACAGCATCAGAAATAAGAGGGAGAGGAAGAGGGAGAGGAGCCACAAGTCAAATCACATCTGGTCGGGTTAATGTGACATGGCAGGTGGACTTGGTTCTTTCTTATTAAATTGTTTTGTGATTACATTTTAAAAAGCTTCTTCTCTAGTGCCTTTGTTTCACTTACCGCCAACGGGCACTGTTGCGAGCATTGTGTATAGTTACCATGGAAAGAGAGTCAAGTGGAGGGCCCTAAATGCTAAACCATTGGAAAGGGAAGTTGGGTGGGGGGGGGAGCAAAAAAACGCAGACATCTTATTCAAAATGGTGGCTTTTATAGTTAATACTTTCAAAACTTGGCAGGGGGAGGAAGGAGCCCGTTAACCTTCACTGTGCCATAATAAAAGGCCGGTGGGGACTCGGTCACACTACCACTACACCAGCCAGCTACTCAACTCTGATGGATGTTATTCCTGACACTGCTAGAATTGCCTGCTGAGACTCTTGATACTCCGCATATCAAGACACAACAGGAACCTTGAATTCTCCCCTCCCTCCCCACAACCGCTATCGTCTTCTGCTCCTGGTCTACCAAGCCCACAGTGGGGGGACTGGCCTCCCCAGAGAAAGAGGAGAGAGCTGGTGGCTGGCCTGCCATTCATGACAGGACACCAAGCTTATGAACTAACTGGGCAGTTTCTTGACATCTGTTCGGTTAGTTGTGTTTAGACCTGACCACAGAAGTTTGGAGAGCTGCAAATTGAAGCAAAGGAAAAGAAAAGCCAAACAAAAATAACAACCAAACCAGAAGAGCAGAAGGACGAACATTTTGGAGGAAGAAAAGGCAAATGACAAACACGTACACACACACACAGAAACCAAAAAATCAACACCCCCCACCAACCAGCTGAACAAGTGGAGAGAAAGAGGACAGACGAGTTCTGTTTACACACATTTTAGTGCAAGAAGGTGAAGCACAATAGCAACATGTGTGCATACTCACAATCACCCACACATACACACACATACAGATGCAGAGTCAGGGTTCCAAATGTGAAACAAGTGAGGCAACACACACACACACACACACACACGAAATAAAAATATAAACCAGAAATTGAATTATTGAAGACATGCACCTCGATTTTACGGCCCTCTACCACGGTGCCGTGTAATTTCTCCCTGGCCCTGTCTGCATCAGCACTATTCTCGAAAGTTACGAACCCGAATCCCTGCATGCAGCGGGAGAAGGGGGGAAAACATGCACATCGTTACATTGAAATACTCATCTCTTGTAAATAGAGAAAAAATATCACAGCATGAAACTGACATCAGCAACAACTCAGCAATACTCTCCCCAAAGTCACAGTTCTGGTCCATGCACAGTGTGTCAAGAGAAATGAAACCCAATGAAAGAAACAAAAAACAAAACTAATAAAGATAGTAATCACAATCTAAGTAACGGCAAGAGGGTAACAATGCATGTGAGGCCAGACCAAAATTACAGGCCACGGTCACTCAGGTTCAACAGGTCATTAAGAATCTCAACATTTTCTCATGCCCTACTTTTCTCAACCCATACTGTTCATGTGTATGTGCCTTTATCTAACGCTAAAACATACTCTGGTCCTTGAACAGACCAAACTTATTACCCCTCAGTAATTTCCACACGAGAGCTGATATTTAAGTGTACCGTAACTACTATGTACCGATAATTTCTACTTGCTCATTCCTTGACTCACTCTTCATTCCTTTGGAAATAGGTACGATGAAGTGCACTGTTGACGTATAATTCTGCAGTTAAAGCACGGGGACGGAGAGCACTTTCTGATTGTCTAAATGAACAGATGACTAAGCAGTGGTCAGTCCGAGGGAGAAAGACCCAGCTTTCTACTCCTGGGAAGAGCCAAGGCCTCAGAAACTCATAGAGGCAGTCCACCCTGTCCTATCGGGTCACTATTGAGTTCAGCATCGACTCGAAGGCAGTGAGTTCTTGTTGTTTTTTCCTTTTAAATCTACATCTTCGGGCGTGTTCTCAGGAGAGACCAGTCCCTGGAGAAGGACATCATGCTTGGTAAGGAGAGAGTCCATGGAAAACAGGAAGACCCTCAATGCGATGGAATGACACGGCGGCTGCAACAAAGGGCTCGCAAATAACCATTGTGAGGATGGTGCAGGACCAGCAGCTTCACTGTTGTACATGGGGTTGCTATGCTGACTTAAAGGCAGCTAACAACAATCTACCTCTAGCCATACGTACACACGTTCACCTGGTTGTCTTTTTAATGCAACTACAGGCTTGATAGGACCTGTTCTTTGCACTTTAAAAGGTAAGGGAATGGAGTCAAATTGTGGGTGAGTACCCAAGGATGTTTAATCAATGGCAAAGGAATGAGAAAGTCACCCGTTTTCTTTTTCCTATCTGGTTAAAATTCTTCTATGACCCTCCTCCTTCCTGGGAGATGTGACACAAAACTGCACTCAGAAGAAAAGGCACAAGATGCTTTATAGTCAGCAAATGCCAAAGCTTCAAGCACTAAGGCCTGCTTATGTGAGGTCTTCTCAATAATGACGCTAACATCCGGGGGTAGAGGTTCACTTTCAAATGCTCTGGAAGTGTTTTGTAAGGAAAGGCACTCCTATTCCAATGAAAATGCTAATAAAGATAACTGACAAATTAAAATAAAGTAATCTTTACCAGCATCTCGGCCTCAGCTAATAGGAAGAAGAAAGCCTGGGGTTTCCTTCCTGAAAGGAAATAGGAAGAGAAGAAGCTGATAATGGCCTCCCAGATGGTCCACATCTTAATTCCTGAGCCCTGTGAATATGCTACCTTACTTTACAGATGTGATTAAGTTAATGGTTTTGAGATAGAAAGATTATCCTGGATTATCCGGGTGGCGGCAGAAGAGGCAGGATCATAGCAATACAATAAAGCCTCAACACGATGTGACCAGTCATTGCTGGCTTTGAAGATGGAAAGGGGCCATGCACTAGGAAATGCAGCAGCCTCTGGTGTTGTTGGGGTTATCCTGATGGCTCAGTGGTTCTGAGTCTGGCTGCTAACTGCAAGGTTAGCAGTTTGAAACCACCAACTACTCCATGGGAGAAAGACGAGGCTTTATATTCTCATAACGAGTCTCAGAAACCCACAGGGGCAGTTCTACGCTGTCCTGTAAGGTTGATATGCATTGGTAACAACCCATGGCAGTGAGTCTGGGTGTTTGTTGTTATATGCCTATAAAATAGATTCTGACTCATAGTGACTCTACAGGGCAGTGTAGAACAATTCCCACAGCATTTTTCAATTTTCAGTCTTTACTGAGGAGCCCGGATGATGCTGTCCATTATGCACTGCACTGGCAACCTCAAGGTCAGTAGTTCAAACTCACCAGCTGCTCCTTGGAAGCAAAATGAGGCAATCTGCTGCCATGGATTACAGCCTACATAGGGTCATGAGTCAGGATTGACTTGATGATTGGGTTTTGGGCAATCTTTACTGAACCAGATTACCAGGTCTCCACACCTCCGCAGAGTTCATGGGTGGGTTCAAACTGCCAACCTTTGGTTGACAGCTAAGCAGTTAACTACTGCACCACCAGGGCTCGAGTATCCCTTCCAAATTTAAACCAAATCATCTCTCGAGTCAATTCTCACTCACAGCAACCCAATGGAACAGGGTAAATAAAACTGCTCCTTCCAGGTTTCTGAAACTACATTGTTATCAGAGCGATGATAGCCTCGTCTTTCACCCATGAAGCGTGCGGGGGATTCGAGTCATCAACCCAACATAACTGACTGCACCAGTCATTCCTTAGAGCAAAATAGAGGAATGTAGCCTTTATTTAGGAACCCTGGTGCCATAGTGGCTACTCATTGAGCTGTGATCCGTAAGGTCAGCGGTTCAAAACCATCAGCTGTTCCTTGGGAGACAGGGCTTTCTACTCCCTTCAACAGTTAAACCCACAGTGGCAGTTTGATCCTGTACTATAGGGCCACCATGAGTCAGCAACAACGCCTTGAAGCAGTGAGTTGAGTCCTTGATTTTGGCCTGTGCAGTGAACTGCTAAGCAGAAGGTAAGCAGTCTAAAACGACCGGCCAGCCTCTCCTTTGGAGAAAGAGGAGGCTTTTCACCCCAGTAAAGTCACTGTCTGCTGGCAGTTCTCCTCTGTCCTCCATGGCCGTTATCAGTCAGAATCCACATGCCGGCAGGGAGTTGGGTTCGGTTTCTAGACTTCTCACCTCCAGAACTATAAGATATTAAGTTTGTGTTATTTTAAGCCACCAAATCTGTGGCAATTTATTCAAAAGCACAGACCGCTTAGAATTATGGTCTATGATCAGGACAGTAAGAAATAAGACCAGCATATTCAGAGTACTGTTCTTATTTCATTTTCTCTCATGTTGGAAGTTTTAAAAATGATTTTCTACAACCCAACTTCCTGCTGGCTTATCTATCGTGTTGAAAGCTCAGTTACAAGAATACTAACTCAGAGATTTAATTTTTTGTGGATGTGTGGATTTGCCAAGAAAATCTGCCATTTAAAATGCCAGGAACTATGCTAAGGATCCTTACACAGATCATCTGGTCTCAAAAGTTACTAAAAGGAATATGATGCATTCATGTCCCTTCATTCTTAGGCCCCAAGCTCATGACAAGTTTGCGCACTCTGACATCTTTCTTTGAGGGAAGAAAATTAGTAATGTAAGCACACACGCTATAAACCAGGGAAGCCTAAGGGTACCAGTCCGGATGGGCACGAAGCCACGCTGAGATGCTACCTCAAACTCTCCACAAGTGGCACACAGGATGGACACCTTTTGTTATGTCAACTTTCATGAATTAAAAACAAAAAACCACCCAAAAGACGATGATATCATTTTGTCTACACCAGTGCTGCCCAAGAAAAATACCGTCACATATATAACTCATCTTGGCATTCTACATTTTATAAAGTAGAATGGAACAGGTAAAACTAATTTGAAAACATGCTGCTTAATCTCATCACTCTGATGACGTGGCAGCACGGCCCCCCCTGGCATCCATGGTTAAGAGCATGGTCAGCAAGACGCTCCAGCGTTCTGGGTCTTGTCCTGTCTTCTTTGGAGCTGGACCCTCAGCACATGGTTCATGGACTCACCACCCTGCCTGGCTGGGCTCGCCTAGGGATCCTCCCTGTCACCTGGGAATAGCCCATGGTGCTGGGTTTTATCAGGTATGCATGCGCAGGGCTGTGATGGCAGCAATTTGGTCTCCTGCCTTGACATCCATTTATAATCAAGGGCAGAGAGGCACTGAGTAACGGTCCTCCTTTTGGTCTGGCCTCAGACTGCAGTAAGTAATGAGCAATAACATAAGCATTGTAAAAAAATTTGTAAAAGGGAAAATTTGGGGGCATTTGTGTAACCTTTGAATCTTTCCATCTCAGAAGAATGAGAAAGAAAATTTACCATGTAACTTTTAAGGGAGAAATCAAAAGCAGACAGTTCTCCTGAGTATGGCCGGTACACAGAAATAAAAATTTTAAAAAAATACATAAAAGAAAAAGAAAACCCAGCAAGTGGTAATGAACGAAAAATAAACTAAGCCCTTTAGAAATCCATGCACTGTTAATGCTGCTTTAAGCATCATGAAACACATTTCACTTCAGCATTACCTATAAAATATTATTGAAACTCACAGAGGCCTGCTTAGTGCCACTGCACACAGTTACGTCTTTTGACCACACTGAATCAGTAAACGGTTTCCTTTGAGAAGAAACAGGCAGGAGTATGGACACCCCTTTCATTTTACTCAGCTCCATGACCAACACCCACGGAAGCAGCAATCAAAACAACAACAACAACAACAGCAGCAACAACAACAAAACCCAAATGACGTGTTGCATTGGAAACCTGCTGTGGAAAAACACTTTAAATTATTAAAAAGCCCGCATGTGAGTTTGAGGACTGAAGTGTGTCTGACGCAAGCCATGGTCTTTTCAATCACCTCATGCGCATGCTGAAGCTGCACAGTGACCAAGGAAGACTGGGGAAGAAATGATGCCTTTGAATTGTTGGTGAAGGGTACTGAAAGAACCATGGATGGTCAGAAAAACAAACGAGTCTGTCTTGGAAGAAGTGCAGCCCAGAATGCTCTTTAGAAGTAAAGTTGGCAAGAGTTCACCTCATACCTTTTGGACATGGTACAGGAAGATCCTTAAGGAAATGGATTGATACAGGGGCTGCAAGCACAGGCTCCAACACAGCATTGCTTGTGAAGCTGGTGCAGGGCCGGGCAGTCTATCGCTCTGTCGAGGCTGGGGCTGCTATGAGGCTGAGCTGACTGGCTAGCACCTAGTGACCTGACAAGCTGTGCTCGAAGAACGGGAATGGGAGCCTTCCGCAACGCCAGCCTGGACTTATGAAGGCAGATCCCCGTCATTCCAGAGATCCACCTGAGAGGGGTAACGAGGACTCGGCAACTCAAAGTTGGCTGGGAAAGCACCAGGATCACTGCTTACCTGGGATTAATTTTGCAATGAATTTTCCCATTTCAGTTACAATAATAATAATAATAATAAATAAAGCTTATTTCTGTCCAGAGACACACTCTGTTTAAAAGCCTGAACAACGCTTAACTGACCAGGACCACACGTCTCCTTGCTCTTTGGTTCCTTTTGAGACATGCGTAATTTTGCAGTCATGTTCAATTAGAAAAGAAATGAGAAACTAAATTTAATTCACAAAAAGAAGAGTACTCATTAATTTACCTTAGGTGGATCCCAGAAAAGACCTGTATGGGTTGGACTCCACAATAAACCTCTATTTGCAGGCCTCAGCACAGTGCCAGCAGAAGCCATTCCAGCAAAGGGCTTTAGGTAACAGTTACGACGGGCAAAGGACAAGGACAAGGCTTTCTACCAGTTCTTGGAAGGCAGCGCTGGGGTGACTTGGAGTTCTGTGCTTGGCTTTTAAAACAATTACCCATCAGTAGATTGCCTGTGGACCCTTTCACCAGTCACAGAAAAACAGGGGCCTTGAGGACCCAGCCTCTAGTTGAGAGAGGAGGCTGTGCCCCAAGGATTCCCCAAAGAGAAAGCTGGTGCCCCTATTTAAAACTAAAACTCAGGGAAAACTGGATTAGAGAAATTTAAAATCTTTTATGTAGAAGGCAAATCCTTGAAGTTAATGAAAGAAGTCTTAATAAAGATTGATCTCCTCTGTTTCATAAGAAGTCCACCTAATTAGTTTTCTTGGTAAAGAGCAAGTCCTCAATGCTTGATGGAATTATATTGGGCTTCCATTTGTCAGAAGTCTCGTTCCAAGTATTTTGAGTGCATACACAAGGCATGGACAATTTATCCTACGACTTTAGAGAAAGCATATGGTCAAACCATCTTCCCACTGTCATCTTCCCAACTTGTAGCTAAGAAGGTCACAAAAATCAAAGCAAACTCAACAACAAAGGGATTATAACTATACATAATCTTACTGCTTGCAGCTTGTATACATTTCACTTTAAAATACTTACCAAGTTAAGTGCTGGAGAAAGTTCTGTATAGGCATATTAATCATTTTTGTTTTAACTGAAAAGTGGAAGCTTAGTGTATAATTAATTACCTGTGTGTAAGTCTTAGTTAACAAATAACTACAATAGTCAGAATTAAACATTTTAGCAGTGATACGTCTTATAAGGACAGGGAATAATGATGAAAAGCATTACAACAGCATATGTGGTTGGACTAATACAGACCGGGAGCAAGAGGCATAGGTAACACTGTAGAGAGTAGACTGAACTGCTGACTTAGCAGCCAACACCTAACCCTCAGCGCCGTCATGGATGCTAACATTGTAACTATATGTCATTAATTGCCAAAGTATGGTGAATTCAGAGTAAGAAACTGATGCATGGAAAACATTAATCCATAGACTAGGTTTTCTCAAATGACATTCTTAGGGAATTTAATCACAGCCAAGAACTGTTTTCATGGGTGATATATGATTAAATGAACGTTTTTTGAGGTGTGCTTCAGTACTGTGGTTTATGGTCCAAAACGTAAAACCTCACTGCCACTGAGTCAATTCTGACGCATGGCGACCCTCCAGGACCGGTGAACCTGCTTGGGGATACTGTCCATAGGAGGAGAAAGCTTCATCTTCCTTCAGAGGAGCAGCTGGCAGATGCCACTGCTCACCTTGTGCCACCCATTATGCCACCAGGGCTAAGGGCATGTTAGTACACATACACATATTTTAATCATGTAGACTGGGAATTTAAAATAGCAAAACAAATTAATAGAGAAAAAGATTTTTAGTCAAAATGCTCCTTTCTATAGAATACCTTGAGAAGATCCCACATACTCCACATTGGACAGCATGACTTTCATTCTTATGCAAAAACAGAAACTCGCTGTTATTTGCAATTTAAACAACTCCACACCCTGGAGCTTCTCTCTCTGGGCACAGTCACTACTCACTCCACTCAAGCCCAGGTAAGTGTTACACAAAAGAGGCAGGATGTCAATCAAATGGCCGAAACACTACATTTGTTCTAAGGATGTCATTTTGAAGCTTGACTTCTAAGAAGCTGAATTGTTCTGATAGAATATCTTCCCCCCCCCCCACCCTTTTCTTTTCTATTTTTCTTTAAAATAAGACGGCTTACTAGGCTAAATTTAGGTCTGATATAGGACCAGCGTCGCTTGCATCCCATCTTCCTTACTGCCCAGCTCTCCCCGCTAAAACTTCCCTTGCTGTCCCAATTATTTAAGTATTAGGATGGGCGTTGTCCAGGGGAGAGCTTTATTTTCAGACACAATCCAATCCAGGCCAGATACATGGAATACTTTTCTGAAGGCTTTAAAAACAGCTGATGTTTTAAAAATATTTTTGGCTTTTAAGAGAAAAGTAACTAACAAGAAAACAAGCACACTGGATATGGAAGTGGAGCTTACCTTAGAGCCACGTTCATTAAAGATTATTTCTACATCTAGGATTTTGCCGAACTGCTGCAGAGACAAAACAAAAACATTGATCTGTGGTCAATATAAATACACCATGGAAGGCAGTTTTCCCTCCTCCTTTTTATTTACATAAGTCAGCCATGTTTACTGTACAAAAACTTTGAAAGGATAGGCACACAGCAAGACAAACATGGCGCAGAGAATAAACATCCCCCGAGATACCTCCTAATAGCTAAACATTTTAACACCAAGCTAAACACATTGCCACTGAGTGGGTTCTGACTCGTAGCAACCCGATAGGCCAGGGCAGAACTGCCCCTGTGGGTTTTCAAGAGTGTGGTGGATTCAAATTGCTCACCTTGTGGTTTAGTAGCCCAAAGCGTAACCACAGTCTTTCTAAATTTCCACATGTACCAGATAAACATCACCGCATACTGTTTCACAACTTACTTTTATTTTTTAAATTTAATATATCAGGAACAGCACCGCAACTCAGTGAATATACATATACCTATTTGTATTAGCATTTCTGTAGGCTACATGCTATCATACTTAAATTATTTGGGGACATTAACAATGATTCCATCACAATGGGACATCCTCCCCCCACAGGAGTCACAGGGAAGGGGTGAATCAACCAGGGTGCAGTAAAGCACCGGTGGAACACACAATATTCCTCGGGTTCCTTGAGGCTTCCTCACCTCCCATTATCATGACCCCAGTGCTGCTTCTCTCTGGACCATACCAGAACATGTATACACAGGTATAGATAAGAGATATGACCTTATGACACATGGAATCCAGGAACAAGAACGGAGATACCAGAAGGGTAGGGTTGGGGGAACTGATCTCAATGATCAACACATAACCGCACACTCCCCCTTCAGGGGGAAGGGAGACTACGGTCAGTGTCAGATATGAAAATAGCAATTTATAACCTATCAAGGGGTCACAAGGGTAGGGGTGGGGGGTAGAAAAAAAGAGAAGCTGATACCAAGAGCTCAATAGAAAGCAAATGTCTAGAAAAGAACCATGGCAACCTATGTACAAATATGCCTGACACAGTTGATGTATAGACTGTAATAAGAATTGTAAGAGCCCCCAATCAAATGATCTTTTAGTTAAAAATAGATAGTATTTATTACCGCAACGAGCATGAACAATGTTTTTAAAGAAACATTTTGCTTAGCTACCTTCTATGCTATTTTACTATTTGGAAGAAAACTCACGCTGCAGACACAAGGGTGCTCTAAGCTGCTCGTATGCAGGGGAACAGCTCACAAGAGGGTCAGACACAAAAGAGTTATTCTTAGGAGAGAAGCGATCTATAAATGACAAAATGGCTTAAATCAACACGGGTGAAGTGAACGGAAAGGATGCACAATGGATCTCCAGATGCCTTCTGGCTCCCACTTTCCTCTGAGTACTGGATTCAACCCCAGTTATCTGCTTCTCTTGGATTTCATGCCAGACTTGGGGAAATGTGGCATCCAAGAAAGGAAGAACAAAAGGGGAGCGTGCTCTCTCCCTGGGTGACGCACTGCCACCCTTACTTTAAAGCATGTGTCGAGAGCTCCAGCTCCCTAGAGTAAAACATCTGGGATTGGGTCGTTTCATGGTCTAAGAGAGAATTATAACAATCAAGGACCAAGAAAGCTTTCTTATTTCTCTGCCCATCCTATAGACCTCAGAGTATACAGTGTCGTTGGCATTTTCCTATGGCATCCTTCTGATGAAGTGAGTTCCTTCCGTCCAGTTAAGGGAAACGAGGCTGACGCAGCCTCGGTGTGACATTTGTAGAGCTGACCAGAGAGACGCATGGAAGCCCTGCTCTTTACCAAACCACTGCTGCCCTCTGCTGAAGGTGCAGCTCCCATGGCAGGACAGTCACCAGGTGTTCTCTGCCAGGAAAACCTGCTTCCTTTGCACTAGTGCATTCCAAGGAACCACTTGATACCTGCTTGAGGCGGCTCGGCACTGGACTCGTGAGAAGGCCCACCACGGTAAGATGCGAAGGGTTCCATTTCCGCAGGTCTCAGGGACTCTGATTCCACATTGTGGAAATCTGGTAATCTCATGTTCTCTCTGATAGTAACTCAAGTTCCCAATACATTTCTTATGTGCACCCTAAGTTCTTTATTCTGCCCTTTACATTTCATGCTGCTCTCTCTTCTGTAGACATGACGACTAGCCGGTCACCATTTTCTGTCAAACGCTCTTCAAGTGCCTGACAGCATCATCAAGCTTCTCCCCTGGCCTTCTCTTCAGTGTGGGCACACAGGAAGTCAGCTCTAGGTGACAGAATTTTGCTCCATTAGCTTGTCACCACCCATCAAGGTTTTAACAAGGGCACTTATTTTTTTAGCAAACCACAGGCAGTTTTCCTAGTTGTTTTTTTTTTAAAAAACAACTTCATTATTGTTTCTTGACCGGGGTCAGGTTTAAAATTTGATCAAGTTAAAACAAGCCACAACACATAGGTTCATAAAAAATTAAGATTCACTTAAAGCTGTTCATTTTTTTCAAAGACTTAAATCCTTGCTACTAAACTTTCTGTTTTTCTGACAGTGATCTCAAGGGGGGAACTAAGTAGGAAACCCTCCACAAACCAACCTTTTATAAATCTGGCCGATACTGGCAGTAACACTACTCAGTATAAACCCAAAAGACAAAACAAAACTTGAGCAACTAACTGAATAGCACGTACTTCAAAACACTCTGAAAGGCAGAGATTTAATGAAATTCAAGTTCAGAGAGTTCAAATGACTTTTCCAAGTACACTCCACTTTAACAGGCCAGCTATCTCAAAACCTGTATTCTCCACACTGGGTGTCTTTTTAGATGCTGCCAAAGGTGGAGGACAATGGCAGTACTGCACTGGGCTTCCATGGAGGATGAAGAAACCACCAAAATGTGGCAGCGTGAGTGGTCCTCACACTCATCTCTACAGTAGAATCATTTGGGGAATCTCGTGGAAATACCAAGTTCAAGCCATACTCCAGTTAAGTCAAAACACTTGGGTGTGGGACACAGACGTCACATGTTTCAGCTCGAGAAGATTTTCAAGTTGAAAACTTATTTAGGAATCATTACTACAAAGAAAAAACCAAAATTAAGTATCTGTGCTCTCTTAGGTGAAACGAATTGCATTATGAATGCACTTACTTGGAGGGTAAGCAACTCACCCTAGTTTGTCATAGACTTCTTTGTTCTTAGCCCTGAAAGTCCCACATCCCAAGAAAGTCTTGAGTCTCAAGGAAATAAAAGGATGCATGACTACCCTATATGTATAAGAAATGCAAAGGCTGATCAATGCATAGATGGAATGACAGAAAATGGATTCTAAAGACTGATGAGAATATTGATAGACTATTAAAACATTTGATATATTAAATTATATTTAAACTAAAACCTTAAAGCTCCAGAGACTTACCCCAAACATTTGCCGGAGGTCAGGGTCCCGGAAGCGGAAAGGAATATTGGAGACATGCAGTCGTTTAGGGGTAGATTTACTCTCTGAATTATCACTACTTTGTGTCTGTGACTGCTGGCCGTCCGTCTGTGCTCCACCTTCTGTCTGCTAAGACATAAACAATTGAAGGAAAACATTAAGACAATCACTTCACAAGGTTTATACATAACAAATATTCTCAAAAAGGGTGATTTAAGCACAATTTTAGTTGTTCAAAGAAAAACACAAACAAGGGTGCCATCTGTGATGGGTTTTGTGACAACTTGTGTGGGCCAAGATCCTCAATAGTGTGCCAGCAAGGCCTCTCCCATAAGGTGCAGGTGAGTGTGTGGCCCATTTTGTATCTCTAAATGGGCTGTGGACAACTGGCATTATCTCTTCCTCCTGCTGGCCTGGATCCTTGGGACTAAAGCCAGCGGCCTGCCATGTGGTCTGCTGGCTCTGGAAGCAGCCAGCGGCTGCCACATTCCTGCCAAGATTGAATACACTCAACTCTGTCCCTCTCAGCCTGTAGTCCTTCCTGCCGTGT